GATTCTCCAAGTCTCTCTAGTCTTGCTTCCCACTCATTTCTAGGCACTGTTATTGTCAGTTGCAGCTTTCTGATCATGCAAACAAGTGCTCATCACCTCCTGTACTCTCACCTCTCCACTGTGCTATCCATAACAAGTGCCTGGGTTGTGCTCCTTGATCTCTCCAGACCCAGCCCACTCCTCAGCTTCCTCCTTCCTTAGTGGCACCTTCCTCTACATGCTCTGATCACCCAAGTCCTTTCTCTTTTTTTGAATTTTAGCAACAGGCCCTGTACACTTCCATAAACTCTGCAATTGGCAAACACTGGGGTTGAATCTGGCTCCCATGACTACTAAACATGTGACCTTGACCAAACAGTTGGTGAGATTCTCTGGGCATTGGCAACAACCCCATGGATCTCAAATGTGTGTTTCTCTAAGAATCACCAGAATTTCTTAAAATTGCAGGCATGTCCCTGTACATGTTCTGAGTTAACTAAGTCCTTTAAGATTTTTTTTTAACTGTAGGTATGTATTAATGTAGAACTGTGCATGGGAGTGCAGGCACACATGGAGAACAGAAGAGGAAGTCAGATCTCCTTTTGCTGGAGGCACAAGTGGTTTTGAGACACCAACATAGGTGCTGGGAATCAAAAGTGATGCTCTCCCAAAACAGCCAGAGCTTTAACTGCAGAACTATGTCCTCGCCTAGAAAGTTTACTTCTAACAAGTTGCACTGTGCACTGTGATATTGTGCCTTGGTCTCACTTGAAGAACCACTATGGGCCTTTTAGGACTGTGGAGAGAGTCAAAGGAAATAATAATTAAAGATTGCTTATTCAGGAATTACTGCATAAACCACAACCTTTCCTTTTCGTCCATGAAACAGGGCAAAAATGGATTTAAAAAGAAACTGCAGAGATGCTCTCGTTCTGATTTTGGCCTCATTTCACGCATGAAGGGAGAATACCATATTGTAGCATTTCTCACTTAGAGAGAAGAGTTCAGATTGTGTGGGCATTGCCCTTTCCATGGCTGTCCTGGCACCTGACATAAAGGCTTTCAGTTTTAGATATGAGCTCAGACATATGTATTACCCAGCCAAGCAATCTAAGCAATCTTTTTATACTAGCGACTGTTTTTAACACACACCCACACATGGGGTGGGATGTATCACAAATCTGTTTGTGGAGGTTATCCAACATAATATTTTCTCTTCCTCTGTGATTGTGGCTCCACATGCTCAAGCTGAGAAGCTGAGAATCTTGACCAAAGAGCAAGCAAGACACATGCTTTTCTTAGTAGAAAATGTGATAGGAAAAAAAGAACCAGACATGGAGGGAAAACTGTGTTTAACAACATATTTGGCAGCAGGAAACTAAATACACTGTCTTGTGTGTGATCCTCCCAGTGGGAAAAAGCATTTTCAAAAGGAATAGAAGAAAATCTCCTTAGGATACAGTGTCAGTGACCAGGGCAGTAGCCTTCTTCTGTAATTGATTTTGCACCCTCCATGTAATTTCCGTTTCTATATGTTTGGGACTGGGACTGAATAATATCCAAAAACTTCCTTTAATTGTGCTGTTTTATGAGGGTACTCCACAGGAAATGGCACTTGTGACATCCAAAATTTTCCTGGCATTCCAGAAAACTGAATCAGTGTCAGTTTCTGAACATTTAACGTATATATACATATACATATATATATATATATATATATTTGTGTGTGTGTGTGTGTGTGTGTGTGTGTGTAGTGTGTGTGTGTGTGTGTGTGTGTATGACGCATACATGTCTGTGCACCAGTGTGGTGGCAGGAGGTGGGTGTCAGGCACCCTCCTCTATCATTCTCCACTTTACTCTTTTGAGTCGGGTTCCGTTCTTGAGCATGGAACTTACAGTAATTGGGTTGTTTTTGTTGTTGCTTTTTCTGACCAGGTGGGTCACCAACAAGCCCCAGCAACCTTCTCGCTCTACCCCTCACAGCACTAGGGTTACAGTGATGTTACCACTCACAGCTCATTTCATAGGTGCTGGGACCTGAACTCAATACACAGGCTTGTGAATCAAGTACTCTTAGCTAATGAGACATCTCTCTAGCCATAAAATGATGCTTCAAAGGCTGATTTTGAACAATTCAAAAGAAGCAGAAGCTACCAGTTTTCCAGCACCATCTCAAAGGACTTGTAAGAGTCTGCCAGAGGAGCCTCTTAAGATTTTGGAAAACGCAGGCCTCTTTTCTTGAAGACTACCATGGCCTTCCCATATCTGATTTCCCCAAAAATGATCATAACTATGACATTTAAGTATGTAAGAGGCACAGTTTGGAAAAAGGAAAGAAAAGTCCCAGGTGTGTAGGTGGGTCCCCTGTCACTGTAAATGAAGAAAAACACCACAGAAGGCAAGGGGAGTGGCCTTAGTATCAGAGGTCCAAGAAGAAGAGATGCTCAATGCTGCTTGGAGCACTGGGTGGGAACCGCAGCCTGAGTCCTTCCCCACCTCTGTCACCCTTGCAGCAACTTCATCCCAGCTGGCTAACACGCTCACTTTGGTTAACACGTGAACAACAGCAACTTCATACCAGCTGGCTAACAAGCTCACATTGGTTAGCACGTGAACAATGGAACACTGGAGGAGTTTCTCATGGACCTGATCTTCACTGTGTCAGCTGGCTAGGAACACCCAGAGGCCCCTGTGTCTTCTTCCCCAAGCAATGAGGCTTTTAGCTCCTTGACTGACCTCTGACCTCTGGCCGCTTTATTTTAAACATCTATTATTGTTCCTGGTTCACATGTCTATGCACTTTTTCTATGACATTTATCTTTATCATAAAAAGGGAAAGGAAACACAAAACTCAGGGAGCACCTGCCTTTGTAGCCCTTCTCTCCCTCCTCCCCCTCATCACAGGTATAGAACAAGTGTAAATTACATCAGTAAGAGACCAAACAAAGCTTTGGCCGCAGTTTTCCTTTTTGTTAGAGGAAGTTACTGCGAATCAACAGAAACATACCCTTTACCCACTAAACAAAACACATTCCTCATTATACAATTAACCAAAACACAACTGTATGCAATATAATTACTCAAGACTACAATTACACAGAAGTAATGGCACAGGGTAGATGCCAATGACTTTCAAATAATCAAAAATAATGAGAGCTTCCTTGATTGTATATTAAGGTATCAAAGAGATCCCAACTGACAAATGTCCTGTATTGATCTGCAGTACATAAAATACTGCACCAGCTGATGAATTTGGAAGCTTCTCCCTTGCCGGGAATAAAGACTTGGGGTGGTAGCCATTCCCTGTAATAGCTTTGGTTTGGGATTTCTAAATTAGCACATTTTAATGAAGCACACATTTATTATCCACTTTCACAGCTGGTCAAATGAATAAAAAAGCACAAAGATCAATAAGTCTATGTAAAAAAAAAAAAAGAAGTCAGTACGGTGTGTAGGTGATCGCATGTGAAATGGTATCTATTATCAGAAATGTGTGCTATGCTTCATCTAAGTTTAGCAGTCATTTCCAGAATTAACAGAGACCATGTTCTCTAAGGATGATTTCCCATGTTCCCCAGTGTCGACCCCTGGCGCTCTTCATTGTTTCTCCCCTGTACTGGGACACTCACTCCCGAACTCCGTTAACTCTGCCCTACGTTTTTTTAATGCATGGCTCTAGCCATCAAATCTGGTGTGTTCCTTCTTAGTTCTCACACAGAGCATAGAACCAAATTCTTCACGTAAAAAGGCCCTCTTTGTGATGGTTCCAAGTCCACACCCCAGCCTTTGGGAAGCCATGTACGCTGCCAGCATGACCTACGAGTTGAACTGCAGCAACGGAACATAAGACGTGGTAAATTGCAAGACAAGGCATCGGTTACGTGCTACTCAGGAAATAAATTTTACCAAGGAAATTATCATATGCTATTAGTTATAAAATGCATCCCAGTACTAGAGATTCTAAATTCAAAATCAAAGCATTTTGAATTAATAACACTTGTGAGTCATGTATTTTCCACACAGTTCTGTGGTGCTATTTCTTACCATCTTTTGCCTACTGTCACCTTTGCCAAGCACGATCTTGCCTTATCCTTTAAGATGTGATTCAATCACCTTCACAAACTTCCTCAGTCTCATTCCTTATTGTCACAATGGGATCAACTTACTGGAATCATGTGTACTTACTGGTGACAATGTTTCCAAAATAGATATATTTGAATTGACAGCAACAACTAGTTAATGTAGCCAAGAACTTCTAACACTTAATCTCATCTCCCTACCGGCTCATTGATATCTCAAGGGATTAAGCAGAATTCAAAGAATGTAGGTGGTGCTTCAATAGGAATGTGGCCCAATTCTGCTTAAATATAACATCTATTGTCTTTGGTTTTCTGACTTCAAATCTAGAAATTTCCCACAGAAGAGAAGTCAAATTTCAGGAGAGATGTAACTGAAAACTGACTGTCATGCTAGATCTCTGGGTTACAAAAGAAAAGAACTGATTCTCACTGGCCTACTGTCTGGTCTCTTTGGAGCTAAGGAAACAGTGGGTGGAGTTGGTGGCAGTAGGTCCAGCCATTCCAAACTGAGGACATCCTTGTTGAACACAGCCAAACCCTTAGCAGTAGACTTCCTAAAGCTTTATGCCATAGGAAGGATCCCCAGAGCAGGTGAAGAATGAAATAGTTTAGGGGAGAAGTAATTCCTCCCTCTTTCATGCTTTACTCTTAACTTCAAAGTAATCAAATGTTGTTTATGCATAAAATTTTAATCCTTTCACAAATTTGTATTTTGATTTAATTTGCATAACCCATTTACTGCAAGTCAACACGAAGAGAGACTCAACTAATTTAAACTGTTTTTCTCTGGGCCCGAAATCCTTTCAGAAATATTTTCCATTAAGCTACTCAATTATGTCTAATGTGGTTAGTGTCATCAGATTAGAATTTTGCTTAAAGAAACTCATATTTAGAACCAGAGAACGGGAAGGGGTGGGAGAACAGAGACAAGACAATAATTACCTGTCTTTGATGCTACACAGATCAATGTGTAAATCACTAAAATTCCCCAGGGAACCTTGCTGAACTGAAATGAGGTCCTTGGGCTGGTTATCAATAAAGATGAGCCTCATGCAGCCTTGGAAAGCCTTAATGGGATTTAAGCATTGGGAATCGGAGAGATTGTCGGGGCACCCTGTGGGACAGAGAGAAAAGACGAAGAACACTGAAATGATCTGTCATTGCTTTGGCAACCTATTGATGGAAGATCTTGAGCTCTAACTATCTGAGCACTTTTTTATTCTCAGCAGGGGACACTTTTGCTGTAAATCCAGGCTCAGAAGGAGGGGCAGAAATGATGCAAAAAGTGTATTCAGTCACTATAAAGGAAAAAATGGTCAAAGGGGATATCATTGGTATAACTTTTATCTTAACTCCACCCATGTGTGTGTGTGTGTGTGTGTGTGTGTGTGTGTGTGGTGTGCCTGCAGATGCATTGTTTCATGTGGGCGTCGGTAGAAGGCAGGGGTTGATATCAATATGTCTTACCACTTTCCCTTAACTCTTTTAGGTAAGATCTCTCTGTGAACCAAAGTCTCCCCAATTTACCTAGACTTTGGTCATAAGCCCCAGGGATCTGTGTTCACTCTTCTCTTTGCTTTTTGTAACACTGTCTCTTCACTCAACCTGGATTATCTGGGTCATCAGTGAGCCTCAGGAGACTGTTTATCTCAGCACTGGAATTCAAGGTATGCCATGCCATGCCCAGTATTTTATAGATACTGAGAATCCAAACTTAGAATTTCATGCTTCCTTGGCAAGTATTTTACTAATTGAGTCTTACACACACACACA